TATGAGATATAAAATTTTGATTTTTTCATCATAAATAAGTTCTTCAATGTCCAAAATTCCATTATAAGCCAAGTATCATTACAATAAAATAAATGGTCTCAACGCTGTACTATTTATTTATTTATTTAATTTATTTATTTTTGAGTCAGAGTCTCACTCTGTCACCCAGACTGGAAAGGTGTGGCCGCTCCTGGCCACTGCAGCCTCAACCTACTGGGCTCCAGCGATCCTTCTGCTTCAGCCTTCCAAGTAGCTGGAATTACAGGTGTGCACTACCACGCCCGGCTAATTTTTGATTTATTGTAGAGATGAGGTCTCACCAAGTTGCCTAGGTGGGTCTCGAACCCTCGGGCTCAGGCAATCCATTCACCTCGGCCTCCCGAAGCACTGGGATTACAGGCTGAGCCACCGAGCCCAGCATTGTGCTATTTAATAGGAAGTGACACGTTTTTCACTATTTCATTAAAAAGGGTGGTGGACTTGCTGGTAAGTGATCCATAAGATGTCTCCGAATGCAAAGGGCTATAATGCTTTCTCATCTTTCTTCATTTATTCTTATGGCCTGTGTGTTATTTAGAAGCATATTAGTTTTCAAATATTTCAGAACTTCCTAGATATATTTCTGTTACTAATTCCTAAGTTAATTCTATTGTGGTCAGATAACGTAGTTTGTTATTTGATATTTTATATTTGTTGGGACTTAGTTTATGTCCCATTATATGGTCTATCCCGAGAAATGTTCCATGCACGGTTGAAAAGAATGAATATTCTGTTGTTGGGTGGAGTTTTCTGTGTCAATTAGTTCAAGTGGTGATAGTGTTGTTTCGTTGAGGGAAGGGTTGTAAGCTCTAACTCTAACTGTGGTGCTGCTTATGTCTTTTTTTCAGTACTATCAGTTTTGCTTCATGTATTTTGAAACTCTGTTATTAAGTACATACACATTTAGGATTATTACGTCCTCTTGATGAATTTATTCTTTTGTCATTATGAAATACGTGTAGTGGATTTGTTTTTTCTTTAGCACAGATATCAAGTGATGATATTTTGTCCGGGCTTGGGGTGGCTCAGCCTGTAGTCCCAGCCCTTTGGGAGATGGAGGCGAGTGTTTTGCCTGAAACTGCGGGTTCGAGACCAGTTCAGGCAACTTGGCGAGACCTCGTCTCTACAATAAATCAAAAATAAGCCAGGCATGGTAATGTGCACCTGTAGTTCAGCTACTTGGAAGGCTGAGGCGGAAGGATCGCTGGAGCTCCGCAGGTCGACGCTGGGGTGGCTGTGAGTGTGCCACCGCACTCCAGCCTGGGCAATGGAGTGAGACTCCAACTCAAAAAAAATTATGATATTTATTTCCATTTTTTAATGTTTTGTCAACATAGTTGATATTATGTTGGGTCTACAAGTTTTTAACCTTTTTTTTTTAAACATTTTCACTATGAAATGTTATATATATATCAGTGTGGGTATACACACACATATTGTTTTAAAACAGAATACCATAAAAGCCATGTACTCACACAGAGCTTAAGAAATATAACATTATCAATAACTTTGAAGAAATCTGTGCATCCCTCCCTCTCTTTCAAAGTTATCTCTACTTTTGTCTTAATTATTCCCTTGTTTTTCTTAGTTTTCCAACATATGTATACATTTCTAAACAACATACTATTCTATTTCCCATTTTGGGCCTTTATATAAAAGAAACTATACTTTATATACTCTCTATGGCTTACTTCCCTTGCTGAACATTATGTTTTGTGATGTATATAACTTTGTTATATAACTTATATAACATTGATGTATATAACTGCAATCCATTCATTTTCCACTACTGCATACAATTCTGTTCAAAGTATGTGGATGGGCCAGGTCTGGTGGCTCATGCCTGTAATCCCAGTACATTGGGAGGCCGAAGCAGGAGGGCTGCTTGAGCCCAGGAGTTTGAGACTGGCCTAGGCAACATAGCGAGATCTCGTCTTTACAAAAAATTAGCCAGACATGGTTGTGTGTGCCTGAAGTCCCAGTGCCTGAGGCAGAAGGATCGCCTGAACCCAGGAGATCGAAGCTGAGGTGACCCATGATTGTGCCACTGCACTCCAACCTGGGCGACAGAGTGATACAGGACTCAAAAAAACGAAGCAAAATAAAAAAGCATATGAATGGACTACAATGTATTCATTTTTCTACTGACAGACAATTGGACCACTTCCAATTATTTTGCTGTAACAATGTTAAAATGAATAATTTTAAATGTGGCTCCTGGTGCACATATACAATTTTTTCTAAACCAGCGGTGCCCAACCTTTTTGGCATCAGGGATTGGTTTCATGGAAGACAATTTTTCCACAGATGGTGGGGCAAGGGGGGATTCCTCAGGCATTAGAATCTCATGAGAAAGGAGCAACCTAGATGCTTTGGGTACACAGTTCACAATAGGGCTTGCACTCTTATGAGAATCTAATGCCACCTCTGATCTGACAGAAGACAGAGCTCAGGTGGTAATATGAGCGATAGAAGTGGCTGTAAATACAGATGAAGCTTGACTTGCTCACTTGCACACCACTCATCTCCTGCTGTGTGACCCAGTTCCTAACGTATCTGTCTGTGGCCTGGGGGTTGGGGACTCCTGCTCTAAACAATATACCACAGGTGAAATTGCATGTATATCTTCAAAATATACCATTTTTCTTCACTTAATTTTGATTCTGTTTTTAATTATTCTTCCTAATCTTTCTTAGTGACTGTATGTTACAAGTATATGCACTAAACTACATCCCTATGCTTGAGCAGCTAGAATTTTTTTGTCCTCAGTTTTAGGAATTTTACATGAGTTCACCACTCTGGAAAAAAAATGTGCAGAAGTCTCTGCCTATGAAGAATTCCCAGAAATGGAATTGCTTGAATCAAGACGAATTTACCAACTGTACCAATTGACATTCAGTGGGAGGATTTTTATTGCTGACAAACATGAAGTAATTCCCATCTAAGTAGTTAGTTGTTAATCCTTTTGGGATCATGGATCCTTTGAGACTAGATTAAAGATATGGGTTGTCTCTTCAGAACAAAAAAGACACACAATTGCATTCATAAACAAAATAGCATATGATTTCAAGGGTTTCTCAGACCCTCTGAAGCCCATATATTGACACCTCTCTTGAATAAGAAATATTATCCTACCCACTGAATATAAGATTTCTTACAGTATTTTACCACATGAGTTCACATACCAACTCATGTATTGTCAAGTACCTTTTGTTTTAAACCATTTGCTGAGCACCCACAATGTACCAGTAATACGCCAGATGCCAGAGGCAGAAGAATAAATGCTCCTGATTGCAAGGAATACAGAGTCTACTTGGGAAGACACAAACCAACACATATTTATAATAAAATATGTGCAGTAAGAGAGGTATTCATTAGGCAAAACGAGGGTATGAATTAAGGACTGATCAACTTTACAAGGGGTTTGCAAAGGATGAATAAGCATTCTCAAGGATATTATAGGCAGAGGAAACAGACATCAGAGGGCCTGGCATATAGGAAACTATACACGAGTTGAATACGGTCAGATTAGACTGGTAACAAATATGGGAAGGGCTGAGATTCCTCCTCCTTTGGGAAGAGATTAAAAAACCAATACTGACATAGACAATTTTAGCAGCTGGCCTGACAACGCAAAGGAAACCACAAAAGAAGAGTTCCTCCCAAATAAACTTCCTTTATTACCCAAGCCTACTCTTATTACATATAAAGAAAACAAATTTTGCCTGTTGTTTTCTGCAACTGTCTGAAGTTCAGTGCTCAATTCAACACACAAGGTTTAAAACCTATTTTGTTATTCATACAAACAAGCAACACATTTTAAATTTAACATTGCCTCATGGCTTTGATTTTATATGCAGAAGTATTAGAAAGCCTGTACAATAATTATGATGATTTCTTTATAACCTGTAAGTTAACACTCCTAATGATATAATCTCTTGAAAAACATTTTGTTTTTAAGTTAGCTTAACTTTTAAAATATAACTAAGCACAATTGTTACTTTGAAGTAACTGATGCAATTATATTGGAGCATGTGAAATTTTTTTTAACATATGCATCTTATACTCTTATGGAAAATGAGTACAACCAGTTTTGATAATGCAATCTCACAAATGTCTTTGTTTATAGACTTTCATTAAAAGTATGAATATAATACTATAAAGGTAAGGTTTTGACAATATTTCCTCAGTGCGGTAAGTTTGTATGCTTACTTTCCTTTGAAACTTTGTTTAGATTTCTCCCATGCTCATCTGTTCCCTTAAGATAATACCCAATTCATAGACGTCATAAAACCACATGTATAAACATGTAAGGTGTGATTATAAAGTAATAAAACCTGTTTTCTTGTGTAACTAGAAAAGAAAAACAGGGCTTTAAAATGTAAATATCCACCCACTGAAGCTGAATCAACCAATTTAAGTTTATAAAACTCTTGCTTTTTCTTTCTTTTTTTCAGAAAAAGGGCTCTCTTGATGGCATGCCTAAACACTCAAGCTTTGTCAAAATAGATGATCTTCAAGGGTACCTTAAATTAATAAAAAGAAGTACTTTCTTTACAAGTTACCTAATAAACATATATAACATAGTTTTCTTTCAGATATGTATGAAAGAAAGGAAATCCTTTACACATATGAAAAAGAAAGTGAGCAAGTTTTTTCTACAAAATTTTCATGGAAACCCCAATGGATCTCAGAGGGAATAGGCACCAACAAGAATATATATTAATATGGTTTCTTTTCAGGTATGGTTTTTCCCTTAAAAGGAGGAATCTTCCTCATGAGTTATTTTTATTTTTCCAAGTAGAAAACATTCTTTTAATTAACTTAAACAAAATGTATGATCAATAAATGAAGGGGCCAAAGATTTTCATGAAGTGAGTTGGAAACAAATGATCCTTAGCATATATTTGAAGACACTGAACAACTTCTACCACATAAAAAAGTAAAACAACAAATCTACGATAGGTACAAATTATATACATTTATTTTTAATAATTTTAAATAACACTCTTGTATAAATTCTTTCATATATTCAAATCATACACAAATTTAGAAATGCATCATGAAGCTTAGTACAGCATATGTATGAGACACGTTTTTAAAATTTGTGTTAGAATTTTAGTAACATAAATACAAGTTTAATGTTTCAGAAACATTTCTTAATTGCTTGGGCTGAAATTTAATGTATTTCAGAGTTTTTGTACCTAGCATTAAAACTTGACATTAAATCATTTAGCTTTTGGACTAAGTTAGATGTGAAGCCCTGGGCTCACTTTCTAGGGCTGCTGCTGCTGCAGTTACTGCATATGCATAAGTAACAAGAAAGAACTATTCCCAATTACCTTTGAAAAAGCATCATTCAACCACTGACATTTTAATGATCCATACCCTTTAGTCCATTTGATATTATTTGACTTCTTCATATGAATCAGTTTATTCTGCTTTTCCCTTTGGCCTAGACACGGCTCAGGGTTAAAGAAAAAAATGCATTAACCTTCCATGACTCTCCTGCACACACCAAACTCATTTTAGCTCCCAAACTCCTTATTATCAAGAAGATCACAACAGACCAAAGGTTCTTCATAGATGAGGCCAGAAATGCTTTCATTGCTATAACAGGTTACACTGGGTTACTTTTTACTTCTCTGAACTTTTTGTCAGAGAGCTTTCCTTAAGAAGTGGAAATTCAACTTCTACCCACACACCCCAAAACGTAAGAACCAGGGGCGCTCATTATAAGTGGTGTTACGTGCACCAAGTGTCCTACAGTAAATATAGGACAAAGGTGAATGATCTAATAGCCCAGTTCCAATGGAAGCTGTCAAGAGGAAGTACTGTTGCTTTAGTTCTCTGCTTCCAAAACTGCACAATGGCTAAATATCCTGAAGGCACTCAGCTGACCAAAATGAACTAGCAGGTCAGTGAGCTTTAATTGCTTTAATGGTCAATTTTCCTGGGAATATTGGAGCTAGAGAACAGCAATATAATTTGAGGCTGCTATACATCCTATCCCCAAAAATCTTTCTTCTCCCATCCCATGTCTGCTGTACTCGCATCTCTTAAAATCTAGGTATTCCTGGGAAGAGTAATGCACTAAGTCCGTAGGACCTTAGTATAAATGAGGTTTATTATTTTTATTTTTCTCTATGACTATGGAGAAACTCCATAATAAGAGAGCCCAGAGATAGAGGGTGGAGGGAGGAGGGGAAAGTAAGGGAGGGCAAAGGCATACTTAACCCTACCAAGGGTATCTAATTGTCAGAAGTGCATAAGGGCTTACAAGGATGAATTAATGAAGATGAAAGTATTGCTTAATAGCAGTATCTGTTTTTTCTTAATAAGAGTCACATCAGTCTTACCTTATTTAAAAATAAACACATTTCTAATCCTTAGGCAAAACAGTTTTCCAATATGAGGGCTTCTAAAGGGCTGACAGCATCCTGCCACTGGGTGCCATAGTTCATGGTGATCACCCCTTTAGAGGACAGAGTATTGTGCAGTGCATTCCATACTAGTTTCCTAGTCTGATTTCAATGGTGATGACTTTGTGATTATGTTATAGTTTAAAGCAAAATTATTTCCACAAGCAAAAAGCTGAGAACATTAATGAATATTATTTAAAATAAATTTTAAGACTTTAACTGGGTGCAGTGGCTCATGTCTGTTTGTAATCCCAGCTACTCAGGTGGCTAAGGTGGGAGGATAGTTGAACCCAGGAGGTAGAGGCTGCAATAAGCCACTATTGTGCCACTGTACTCAAGCCTGGATGACAGAGTGAGACTCTGACTCTTTAAAAAAAAATTTTTTAAGACTCTACTATTTTTTCCATTGGTAAAAATTAAGAATGAGAACTAGGAGCTGTTAACAAGTATTTAAAGATAAACGTTCTTTGTGATTCAATTTTTGCACTGCCTTTTAAGGTCTGTTTCAAGGAATTTCTCCCTAGTCAGAATGCTATTTGGCTTGGGGTCTTAGACTCCAACATACACTCCTTTCTCTGTTGGGTCACTGTCTGTTTAACAATCTTCACTATCTTTAATTCTGACCTTTTTTTGGTGGAGAGGGTATCTGAGAGAAAGGTAGGTATGCCACTTTGCACAGTTCCTTAGAATTGTGCAGTGCACAGTCTGTACATACATACAGCAACTGCTGGGGAAGCAAGATTTCTCTCCCTGCTTGGAGAAATGCGTTCACTTTAATGAAGCACAAATCAGTAGTTTTGTTTTCTTATCACTAATACTGGCTTCAGATAGTAGTCTTCTTGTGTTCTTTCCACTAAGTCCTTCATAGCTGTATGGCCCTCAATTGTTCTGGTACTTACACAAAATTAGGAATATCCACAAATAGGACTCTTCCTCCCAGCCTTCTTGTGTTCATGGCTAGGCAATTTCTGTTCCACATATAGTTAAAAGAACATGTGCTTTAGAGTTAGGAGTCCTGATTCCAAGATGAATAATGACACACATTTGTGTAGCCTTGCACGAAACATTTAGTCCCTCTGTGCCTCAGTCTCTTCATCTATAAAATGGGGACAACAATTACTTCCTCAGGGGCTATGGTGAGGAAAAAAATTGCACATATGAGGAAGACCAAAAAAAAACCTCGGAATTTATTTTTTAAAAATTGTGTATTTTTAACATGTTTAAACGTCAATCACCTCCAAAGTACTCGCCACTTGATGCAATATACCTATACAGACACTTTTTCTACTGCTCAAAATAGTTTTCGATCTCATCAATTTTGATTATTTTTAGTGCTTCTGCCGTTTTTTGTCTCATCTCTTCCACATTTGCAAAATGTTTCCCTTTGAGGACTATTTTCATCTGGGGAAACAAAGATGTTGCTTGGGCAAGATAGGGTGAATAGGGAGGATGGGGCACATGGGTCTTGCTGTTTTTCGTCAAAAACTGCTCAACACTCAGCAGTGTGGACAGGTGTTCTTGTAAATCACCCATTATGAAATGGGCAAACACACTGAAAGAATCTCCAAAAAAAATTCACTGAAGCTGAACACAGCCTCTCACAATGCTAGCTGGTACACTGATGCCAATGGGTTCCTGGAACACTTACCACTGTACTATAAGAGGCCGGCCCTCCAAAAGATAATTCCAGTTGTTTTGGGGTCCCCCTTGTGTATGGTAAAGTGCTTTGCAAACTACAAAGGGCTACAGAATTGGCAATTTTAATATAATGTAATATAGTTATATTACATTATGAGCAATAGCCAAATATACAGAGCATCCTCAGGTTAGCAGAAGTAGATTATCTGCCTGTACATACTTCAGAATTTCATCTCCAAACCCTGAGAACAACTTGGGGGTCTACTATAAAGGGATGACCAAATTCTAGGTTCTTCTCTAGGGAAGTTAGGCAAAGGGGTCAACTTAGACTTCCTAGGTCTAATCTAATAAGAAAGTTTGCTTTTTTCTAACCACTTCACAGTTTGTTGTTCCTCCTAATAAATATGTATACTTGACTTCTGACCACCTTTCCTGGCTTACTTTATCCACAATCTGTCAATATCAAAATAAATGAGAGCAACAGTAGTTGGCCTCTAGTAAAAAAAAAAAATGCATCTAAAAGCAAGGACTAATTACACAAGCCCAACTACAGAACTACCCTCTCACTGGACAAGAAGAGAATGGGCAAACTAGAGCACTGCAGAGATGGCACATACTTCATGGAAAATGAGTGACAGGCTATGTTCAAATGTAGAATATTTTTTTATGGGGAGATATAAATATCTCACAGGCATGAAAACTAGAGATCCCAAGTGATATGATGGCTTTTCTTTAGGAAGTAAAATATTTCATCCTTCGGAAGACTATCTTTTGTGTTCAGGAAAAAAACTGCAAATGAAGATATGTTCTATATTCATCTATGTAAAATATATAGAGTGGCTAGTGTCTAATTAGATGAGTATTTTGGAAAGTACAGCCTGTGTCCCAGCTTAACAATTACTGACTTCAAAATCTATTGCTTGACTCTATAGTAAGTCAAAGAGTATATAACTCTACTTTTAGACTGAGAAAGGAAAGGAAGATTAGAAACATTCAACCTCTTATAAATTTCAGCAATGTCCAAAGAGGGACTAAAATTGACTGATGCTCACCAGAGTCCCAGCTCTAGCAATATCGCCATCTATTTTACAGTATTTTAAGCAATCCCCATATTTTCTTTTTACAACATCATTAACTGCTGTACAAATAAGTTCCAGATGATAAAATATGACATGATTTTTTTTACAAATAGATACAAATACAATGTTGACCAGATATGCTACATTAACTATGTACACCTTATTTCTCTAGAAGCAGGAATATTTCTTATTTTTAGACAATTTGTCATTTACATTGAGACCCTGAGGAGGACCATCAGCTTCCTGCTCCCCAATGCTGCCTTCTCTACCATTAGAAGCTTATCCTGTGCTTTAATCTCATCCTCGAGCAAGAATCCTGGGAGGAAAAACCAAGACTTTCTGAAGATCTTCTTGGGACTTTTCTACCCCTATTTTACCAATAATCAACTGTTTATTGTGATACAGCCTAGACACCAGCTTTTCTCCAATGATGCCTTTTAGTACAGCAAAATGAATATAATCCCTGACCCTCTTTAAAAAAAATGTGTCTCAGGAATGGAGATGAAGTCTTCCAGCAGTCCTTTCCCCCTCCACATCCATCATATTGTTGCCATTGATTTGGTGAATACTTCCCCAGGAGTCTATTTGGAAGTCAAAGTGGATTTGGGCTGCACTATGTTGTTCAGCTTCTCCATACTCCCATGTGGTTTGGTACAAAAATATACTTTACTTCAAGTCCTTAATGACAGTGAACACTTCTGATCTTCATGGGAAAACTAAGAGCAATAGATAGGCTAAGTGCTTAACAAATTTGTACCTGAAAATGTCAGATGTACTATTTGCCTTTGCTTTCTCAGCAAACTCTACCCAGGCTTTGTCTGGCCCAGGGGCTGATGCTGTCTTAGTAAGCACTGTGGTTTAGCAATCCAGGAGAACAGTTCTAGCTTCTCAGGCTTTGTAGTTATGTATGGGTGTCGTCAGGGTCAGTTGCCCATTGGGAGCCACTTCATTGCCATCGTCTTCCAACAATCCCGACACATCTGCATTAGGAATGCTGTCATGGTAGCTGCTGAAACTAATATTGTCTTCTTTCAGTTCGATGGTCCAAAAGGGGGCATTGAGTTTCCGGTTTTGGTACTCGCGGTACATATATACAGCCCCCACAAATCCCATTAGCAGCACCACCACAATGATGATGACTGTCAAGATGATGATGTTAAACTGGGTCCATGATACATCAGCTAGAGCTGAAGTGCTGTTTTCAGAAGTGCTTACTGAAAAGATAGTCTGCAGGGTTGTGGGGGTAAGTGTACTATTTATAACAGGGGTGGGCACTGATGTGGTCAAAGAGGCATTGGAAACCAAAATGGTAGAACCTTCAGGTGTTGGAACAATAACTTCTGAAAATAAAAACAGAGAATGAAATGTAAAAGACAAAATTATCTAGTTTTGAGAAACAATAAAATAAATACACATGGGAATGGAGATTGAAGTGGGATGTTGAGATGATATTCTGCTTTAAGGTAATGCAAGTTTAAAATAATTTTTAAAGAAATATAGTGATGAGAATCAGGGTCTAGACAGCTGGGTTATTACATCAGTGGCTCTTCTCCAATATATATAATGTCTGTATTAAAATCTTTGGGACAATTCCAATGTTGGAGTTTTCCATCCATTTTTACTTTTAGGTAGAGTCATAGAAATTCCTGCAAAGGTAGTAAATATGTCACCACTGAGTTCTAAATCACATGGTTAAAGGTGACAGGGATATATGGCAATCATGTGAACTAAAATAAGTCCAATGTGTCTGGTAGCATTTCATAAAGGTAAAATTTTCCTCAAAGAAGGTGTAGGAAAAATTGTATCTCTAGTTACATCTGAAAAATGCAGTTTACATGTCCAAGGTTGATGTCAGCCAAGAGAGAAAACAGTCTTCCTTTAATTCCATGTATAGCAATTCTTCCTTTGTGAAGATGATAGCTATTTTATAATTAAGGTACTATAATTTATTTATTTATTTATTTATTTTTTAAATTTTTATTTATTTATTTATTTTTTTGAGTTGGAGTCTCACTCTGTCGCCCAGACTGGAGTGCAGTGGCCGCTCCCGGCCACTGCAGCCTCGACCTGCCGGGCTCCGGCGATCCTTCTGCCTCAGCCTTCCAAGTAGCCGGAATTACAGGCATGTGCTACCACACCCGGCTAATTTTTTGATTTATTGTAGAGATGAGGTCTCGCTGCCCAGGCGGGTCTCGAACCCGCAGGCTCAGGCAATCCACTCACCTCAGCCTCCCAAAGGCGCGGGATTACAGGCTGAGCCACTGAGCCCGGCTGCTACTATAATTTATACCTCTAATGACAGCATAACTTACTGGAAGGACCAAAGGCTTTGGAATCAAATAGAACTGTGTGGCTATAGATGTCAATTTTTTTAAAGCCCAGGTTCCCCATCTGTAAAATGGGAGGAATAGCATCAACTTTGCAGAGTTCCTGGGAAGGATTAAATGAGATAATGCACTATACAGCATCATTACATTTAGTGCTTACAGTGCTTGGCACATAGTAGGTACTCAATAAAATGATTACTATTATTATTATAATTCTTCATCACAGTTAACCACATCAATTTATCCTAAAAGAGGCAAAGTTTATATGTATTACCTAATAACTAATAAGAAAAATCATCAGTCCTTTCAGCTAAATATGGATAAAGTATGCCTCCCAAATGGGAAAGAGAACTGATTGACAAGATCTCTAACTAGTGATAAGGTTCAATCTGAGTCTTTTAGACTTGATTACAACAGCATAAAGATTTTAAGAAAATGGCAGAAAGTTGAGACTTACCACAGACCAACTGTTCATCAGCCTAGTATTCAGCATCTGTTAGAATATCAGAGTGGTTTGTGGAACAACATGGTCCAATCTCTCTGTGACCCAATAAACTCTCAATATCCCTAACTCATTCTGAATTTATAATCATAAATTTTTTCTTAATCTTCACTGAACTTCCATGTAAGAAATATTTTACCATATAAGTAACTTTTTCTTTTAAAAACCAGAAGGAATACCATCATTATTTCCTCTATTGTATGTGGGAAAACTCAGGCCCAAAGTTAAGACAGATGCTAGAATAAACTCCAGTTTCTCAGCTGGAACTTCTAACCAGATTTTATGTCCCAACTTGAAAAGACCTTTGATGATCACTGAAAGACATGAGCATAAAGGAAGTAAAGAATAAAATAAATGATAGAACTCTTAAATTATTAACATAAAAAAAGATGAAGAGAAAATGTGAGAACACTTTGTCTCACTGTCGCAGTGACTTTGTCTTGGTCCTCAAATTTCTGGAGTTGACTTTGGAGTATCAGAAGAGCAGCAGGAATAGAAGAGAACCTCTTTAAGCAATATCTATCAAAATCTATTTCCAGAAACTCCTTTGGTGGGATTAGAAGGTTTTATAAAGCTAAAGGTAGCTGTCCTGAAATTTTCACTGCTAGGCTTAGATATTAAATTTACAATCTTAGGTGAAGTTTTACCTTTCTTGATGCAATTTCCCTCGAGGTCTTGAACATAACCTTCTATGCAGTTTTCACACCAAAACCCAGTGGTGTTATGGAGGCAGTTGATGCACTCACCACTCTCAGGCTTGCAAATCTTTGGAGTTTTACTTGAGTTCACATGGCCATTACATTGGCACTGTCTACAGATGCTGTCAAAATTGTAATAACCATTTTCACATTGATTGCAGTTCTGGCCTGTGTAACCATCTTTACACTGGTCACATGTAGGTTCCAATTCACCCGATTCTAAAAGACAGAACACCAAAATAGTTTAGCGCAGTCTCAAGCTACAATTAAAAATGCAAAACAACTATTAGTCCTTAAAAAGATTTGTAAACCTGCCTTATCTCCTCTCAATCTTAAGAGACAGATGGTATCAGACTAATAATCTATACCTTATTTACTAATTTTCCGGTCTACAGTAGCAATGATGGGGCCACCCAGAAAACCTACTCAGAGAGCAAAAAACCTATGCTTACATAAGGAGTCAGAATAATTATGATGGGTTGGCACTCACATTTTAAAATTCTTCCTGTTTAGACATGGCAGATTGAATAAAATATGGTTTTAACACAAACTTCCTCCATCCCTCTTTTGCTTTAATGTTGATACTCCCCAGACTTCTATTCTTGGCTTCTTTCTCTTCTCACTCTGCTCATTCTCCACGGGTGACCTCACCCACTGACATGATCAACAATTTCCAAAATGTGTATCTCCAGTCCATCTCCCTGTCCTAAATTCCAAATCATATACTTACTGCCTGTACATCTGGAGCCACAAACATCTCAAGTTTAACATGTACAACACTGTCCTCAACATCTTCCCTTCCTAAGTCCTGTCCTCCTCCAATGTTCCCTATATCTCAGTGAAAGGGACCAACATCTACCCACTTACCAAAGCCAAAAAACTGCGAATTATCTATCCTCCTTATCCCTATGTCCCTTCTAAGCAGTTATCAATTCACATCAATTATGCCTGACTAAAATCTTTCCAATCCACAATGTCTCTTTCAAGTCCCCTGCAATGATCTTTTTTTTTTTTTTTTGAGTTGGAGTCTCACTCTGTCGCCCAGACTGGAGTGCAGTAGCCGCTCCCGGCCACCACAGCCTCGACCTGCTGGGCTCCGGCGATCCTTCCGCCTCAGCCTTCCAAGTAGCCGGAATTACAAGCATACGCTACCACGCCTGGCTGATTTTTTGATTTATTGTAGAGATGAGGTCTCGCTGCCTAGGCGGGTCTCGAACCCGCAGGCTCAGGCAATCCACTCACCTCAGCCTCCCAAAGGCGCGGGATTACAGGCTGAGCCACCGAGCCCAGCTCCCTGCAATGATCTTAGTTTAAGCATCCATCATTTCTCACCTAGATTACTGTAGCTACTTCCTAATGGATCTTTTTTTTTTATCACAATGCAGCCCTACATTCATTTTGAACTTCAAAGTAAATTTCAACATGTTACTTCTCTAGAGAAAGTTCTTTGATGGTTCCCCAACTCCTTCAGGATTAAGTGAAAATGTAATAGAATTTTCGGTATCCTTCATAATCTGATCCCTGCTTGTCTCAACTCTTCTGTCTTCACTCACACTTCCCTATTCCTTAGGTTCAGGCACACTAACTGGCATAAGAATACTCCCAAATACTGCCTGCTTTCTTCTCTCTGAGCTTTCATATATACTACTTCCTCTGCACAGGACCTCCTCTTGCCTCCCTAGCCCCACTTCACCTGTAGAAAATTCAATCTGTAGGAATTAACTCAGGTTTCATCTCTTCTGAGAAGCACAAAAGTTTTCCTTGATTCCTTCAGTTTGGGATAGGGTCAGTTTATGCTTACCTGTAACACATCATTCTAAATTATAATTACCTGATTACTCTCATCTGGCTCTCCCATTAAACTATGAGCTACTCAACATTTTTGTCTTTATCTCGTGTTGAGCATATAGTATCTGACGGATAGTATGTGTTTAATACATATCTACTAACTCAATAATTTCACCTTAAGCAGTGGGAACATACCAACTCATTCCTTTTCTATTTTTCATATAATTTAAATTCAGGATTATTGATTACATTTAATAAATAATTTTTCAATAATCAACAAATTGTTTTAGTTATCTGCTAAATAGATTAGTCCCTGTTTTAGAATTTACTGATTACACTATTAAGATCATCCTGTTATCTCAACATAGACGTTTTATTACAGCAGAAATACTTTACAGTGGTCATGGAACTTGTGGTAATTAATCACATCTCTGACGTTCTTTATGAAAAATGAATCTCATTTTCTATTTTACTATTGATTTTTACAATGACTTTCAGATATAATTCAATACAATTCAACCATTTAAAGATCACAATTCAATGGTTTTTAGTATATTTCCAGAGTTACGCAACTAATAACGAATTTTAACTTACTACTTACAATCCAGTTGGTAGTGTGATCTCAAGTAAGTTACTAAACTCTGGGTCTTAGTTTTCCATATAACATCAAACAAGGAGATTAAGCCAGAAATGCTTAGCCTGCTTTTAGCAATAAACGATGTCAGTTGAAAGAATCCATAAGTCATGCAAACAATAATATGCAGAAAAAATACTTTAAAAAGTATATACTCCTTGTTCTAAAAGAACTTATAGCTTACAATGGTACCATATTTTACATTTTTGTACTTCAAAAACTATAGCAGCATTAACTAAGATAAAAAGTTCCTGATAAAATAGACTGAAGGACTGAAATCAAGGTTTGTGAAAGTCTTTCATGTCTGTCATGTTCAGACCAACTGGCCCTCAAGACATGACATTCAAAGGCTCTGCCTCATGTTTCACTGCCTTATATATTCTGCCATTCCTAAGTAGTTTCTTGATTAAATAATCTGTGTCAAATTTTCTGTGCCTTTGTTTATTTTGATTTCTTTATTTGAAGTGTCCTTCTTTCTCCTGTCTACCTGCTAATGCTAGCTCTCATCACAAGACTCAGCTTTTACATCACATCCTCTCTGAAGCCACTGCTGATATTCCCCCACTCCAGATAGGGTAACTGTTCCCTCTTGGTGCATCCATTATACAAGTACACAGATCCAAAATACTGCACTGCAATTATTTGTATGTTAGTCTCTTCACCAGAAACTGAGCGCTCAGAGCATCAAACTATCCGAATTGGCTAGATACTTCCTACCCATAACCTGCAGTATAAGCTCAGTACGTGTGCTAGAACACAAATATGCATGCCAAATTAGACTGGTCAGATCCCTATTCTGTCTTTGGCTCTGATCTCACAACCACCTCTACAAATATACATTTCTAGATGGTCAAATACTTATTCTTCAAGGCTCAGTTCAAATGTTACCTGCTCCACAGAGATTTTTCTATACCTCCCAGTAGGAAATCATCCTTCCTCCCCTAAACTTTCATGGCTCCAATGTTATACATCTCATTACTCTCTACCTTGAGTTATGGTTATCTCCCTTTCTACCCACTGAACATGTATTTTAGCATTAATCATATGCTGGGAATGGGGATAAAATGGTTAAAAATATAGACATGGTCTCTGCCCTTAGGGAGTTTGTAGGGCCTGGAAAAGGCAACAAGATCTTGTTTTTATTAGGCATCATCTCTCCATAGAGAAGGCTTCTAAATTGTAAATTTATCATATAAAAGTAAATTCATTCAATTATTCAAAAATAATTTATAAAGCAACTATAAAAAATAATTTACAAAGGAAAAGGAAAGTTCCTCTAGATGTGTCAAGGACTAATATAAGTTCCTATTTATAATTACTATAAAATAATAAAATCTTAAATTTTTTGACACTAACAACAAATCAATATGCTTATAAAGATAAAAAAAAGTCACCAGTCATGGTGGCTCATGCCCAAAATCCCAGCACTTTGGGAGGCCAAGGTGGGAGGATTGCTTGAGTCCAGGAGTTCGAGACCGGCCAAGGCAGCATAGCAAGATCTTGTCTCAATTTTTATAAAAAAACAAATTAACCAGGTATGGTGGCAAGCACCTATAGTCACAGGTACTCAAAAGGCTGAGGTGGAAGGATCACTTGAGCCCAGCAGTTTGAAGCTGTGGTGAGCCGTGATCATGCCACTGCATTCCAGCCTGGGTGATACAGTGAGACCCTGACTCAAAAGAAAAAAGAAATTCTACACTATAAAATTCTGATATTGTTTTTTATACACGAACAAGGAAAGTAAGGTGTTATAAGGTATGATAATGTGTTTTTGTTAGGAAAAAGAATAATATTCTTTAGTTATAGATTAGTTAAAGGTTGTTTATGGATGAATAGAGGATGTAATAACATAGATAATACTGAATGGATATAGAAAGTCAGGAAGAGAAAAGAAAGTAAAAGATAATATTTTGTGGTTGAACTGATTAAAGTAAAATGAACTTCCTATAAGTGTTTTAAAAATAAGTTTGAACAGTAAAAGTACATGGATACAAAACTAAAAAAAAAAGATTTTGTATACGCAGATTGAGATGTGAGATGTGAATATGTAATCTACTCATATTCCTGACCCTGGATAGGACTACTCCTAATTTATCCTAAATGGTTAATATGTACTCACGCATACAGTGATAGTAAGGTATATATTTCCAGGTGTCACTTCTTTTATGAAAAATTTCCTAATATTCATTTCTAGGTACAATGCAATACCTCTCCCTGTGTCCTACTATATCATACACACACACACACACACACACACCCCTACCCACACATTTGCTACGTCTATTGATTTTCCTTGGCTAACATCTTGATTACAACCTTATGAAAAATACCAAACCAACACAAACAAAGAATAAACTGAACTTCATTGAAATTTAAAAGTTTTGCGCTAAAAAGATCATCAAGGAAGTAAAAAATTAAACCAATAATAGGAGAAAATATTTACAAAGTATGTATCTGATAAGGGACTTAAATCTAAAATATGTATATAATTCTTTTAACTCAATGATAAAAAGATAAATAATCCAATTTTTAAATGGGAAAAGGATCTGGGTAGACATTTATCTAAAGAAGATATACAAATGGCCAATAAGGACATAATTAACTATCAGGGACATGAAAATTAAAAACACAATGCAATATCATTTCACATTCACTAGGATGGCTATAATTGTAAAGAGGTTACAGTGAGCTATGATCGTGCCACTCCAGCCCAGGTGACAGCACAAAAACTTCTCTAAAAAACAAACAAAAAGACAGATAATAAGCACTGATGAGGCTATGAAGAATTTAGAACCCACATATAATGTTGGTGAGAATGAGAATGTAAAATGGTGTACTCATTTTGGAAAACAGTTTGACAGTTCCTCAAAAGGATAAAGAGAGTTACTATATGACCCAACAATTTCACTTCTAGCTACACAGCCAAGAGAAATGAAAACATATGCACATACAAAAACATGTACACAAATGTTCAGAGCAGCATTATTTGTAATGGGAATAACGCAAATGTCCACCAATTGATGAATGGATAAATGAAATGTGGTATATTCAAACAATAAAATATTACTTAGCAATAAAAAGTAATGGAATATTGATACATGTTACAACATGGGTGAATCCAAAAATATTATGCTCATTGAAAGAAACTAGACACAAAAGGTCATATATTGTATGATTACATTTATATGAAATGCTCAGAGTAGACAAATCCACAGAGAAGAAAAAAGTGGGTTACGGGTTGTCTAAGGCCAGAGTAAAAGGGAGTGATTACTAATGATTATAGGACTATTTTTTAGGTTCTTTTTTTGGGGGGAGGTGATGAATGTTCTAAATTTAATTGTAATAATGACTGTACAGCTTTGTCAATACATATTTAAAAACACAGAATTTTATATTTTAAATAGATTATAATGTGAATTATATCTCAATAAAGCTGTTACTTCATCAGGTGGGGAGGGAGAGAGGCAGGGAGGGAAGAATCCAAACCAGAACCACCCAGTTAAGTGGCTCCCAAATTCCTAACAGAAACTATATGAAATCATACATGCTTATGGCTTTAAGACACTGAATTGTAGGGTAATAGGCTATGCAGCAATAGATAACTACTAAATATATTAGGATTAAATGAGAGTTAACTATATCTGCAAGATTACCATATACATACAATTAGCTAACATTATTAAGTACCTAGGAATAACTAATTAGTGAATGTTACCTTGAAATAGGTAAGCAAAAGTTGTTCAGTCTTGAAGTTCCTGTATTAACTTGTGTTGCTTTTTAGACATTTTAAATCTCAATGCACATATCTGTTTGGATTAGATTATAAATTCCTAGAAAGGAAAACTTTTGCTGTTTTTATAATTCTCTTTTACCTATTGCATCTAGAACTTTATTCATCAATGCAAATTATACCTACTGACAACTGATGCACTGATTTTTTTCCCTCTAAAATGAAGTTAGAGAAAGGCCTTACTTATTTTGCAATTGCCTGTAGATGTCACTGCTGAACAAGGGCAGAGAAGACATTCTCTAGTGGCATCAAGACTCTGATAAAATCCTTCTTTACATTCTTCACAGTGATTTCCTTTGCGATTTTCCTGGCAGTTGAAGCAAACACCTAAAAGAAGCAAATTATTTTTAAAAGTTAAAGATTTACTATGAAAGCATGGTAACTTTAAAAAATCATGCCTGTAACAAAAAGACCATAAGAAAAAGAAAAAGTAATACGGATTGGATGGAGTTCATTTCTATCCAATCTTACTTCTATACTGGCCATGTCTCTGAACCGTGTCCCCTACTAGATTGTAAACTCCTTAGGAAAAGGTTAAGTGCAGGTTATCGTCTCAATAAGCCCTTGTTAGTTGGTTTGACTACAAACCAAAAGCAACCCAATTATGTGTAAGGAAAAAAATAAAAGCAATGTAAATGCCTATTAAAAGAAGACTAAATGAATTGTGGCATTTTCATAAGTGAATTAAACCTGTATTCATGAACATGCATACATTTTAAAAACAACATTGGTCAAAAAAGCAAATTGCAGAATGACATATACAGAATGAGAATACTTATTTTATAAAAATTTAAAAACCACAGTAAGCAATACTAATAGATACATAATACACACTAACCAGAGGATTGCATAAACATGCAGTAAAAATTAAAATATGGATTGAGAGGGTGCAGGGTAATTTTATGCTCTGCTTGTCTCTGCAGAGGCAGGGAGAAAAACAGGAGTAGGGAGGAAAACAAAGAGAACCTCAGCTTTATTTAAAATTTTCTATTTCAAATATATATCTATATACATATATATATAAATATAAAGCGAAATGGACCAGGGAGGAAAACAAAGAAGACCTCAACTTTATTTAAGATTTTCTATTTCAAAAATATAACTATATACATATATGTAAAAATATAAAGCAAATGTCAAAATGTTAATCTTTATTAATTTTAGGTGTGAGTGCATGGGTATTTGTTCTATTATTCACCAGGGGCTTTTATATTTAAAAATACAAAATAAAAACAATTAACAAAAAAGGAGGCCGGGTGTGGTGGCCGGGTGTGGTGGCTGAGGCAGGAGGATCACTTGAGCCCAGGAGTTTGAGACTGTGGTGAGCTGCAATCATACCACTGCACTGCAGCCTAGGTGACAGAGTAAGACCCTGACTCGAAGTGTGTGGATACGTGTGTGTGTGTGTGTGTGTGTGTGTGTGTGTGTGTGATTTCACTCTCTTAAACTATTTATACAATAGTATTTTAAGTTTTTTCCAGATTTTTAAAATTTCTATTTGCTTTATACCATACCCTGTAAGAAGGCATCAATGAGTAAAAAATAACTCTACATGGTAAAAAATACTATCTCAAAAGTAAAAATGAAAGCAAGTATAAGAATAAAGCTAATCAGTTCTTAAAAACTCATCACTCTTTGTATTACTCTAAGACAGCATGCATCTGAAGCACAGCTACAGAGAAAGAAAGTTAATAAATTAAAGACTGATCAGATATAAATAATCAGAATGTTAACAACAGTTGTAAAGGGCAACAGCCCTTTCAGTGGTTTCTTTCCCCCTTCTAATTTTTAAAACAATTCATGTAGAAATCTGAAGATGATTGATTTTGCAATAAAATTCATTTACAGTAGAAACTAATATTGTGAGTTTTCTTTTCTTTCTTTTTTTTTTTTTTTAAGGCAGGCTCTCACTCTGTCACCCAGGCTTAAGTGAAGTAGCACAATCATGGCTCACTGCAGCCTTGATCACTTCTGTCTCAGCCTCCCAAGTAGCTGGGGCTACAAGCGCACACCACCACACCTAGCTAATTTTTTGCAGAGACAAGGTCTCACTATGTTCCCTAGGCTGGTCTAAAACTCCTGGGCTCAAGCAATCCTTCCACCTTGACCTCCCAAGCAGGTGTGAGCCACGGCGCCCGGCCGAGTTTGCTTTCCTAATAGCTTACAACTTCTCTCTGAGAAGCAACATAGCATAAGCAAAAGGATATGGGATTTAACATCAAATCTGTGTTCCATTCCCAGCTGAACCTCTCACCAGATGTGTGATCTTAAGCAAATAATTTCTGTGGTTTTCACTTTTTTAATCTGTAAAATGGGTTAATAGTTATTTGACTGATGATTTAATATACCTTGAATATTTCAAGAACTAAACTACTACTCCATAGGATGCAATTTTTTCTCTTTATGTATTAACTTCCTCATCTATAAATTTAAAAAGCTGAGCTAGACGAAATCTAAGTTTCCTTTAAATCTAAAACCTGAGAGTCTTTCTTTTATGATAATTCATATATAAAAATTAGCTGAAGTTTAACACTGTTTATTATGCTCTGTCTGGAGCACCCCAAAATATAACAACACTGCCCTAAAAGTCATATTCTCTTTGTTGAAAGACACCCAAAGGGTGGATCACTTACAAACAAACAAAAAAAAGGAATGATTCTTCAAGATGATTTCACACTTTGGCTAAAGCATCTAAAAAAATCTGGTAGAGATAACCAAGAAAATGAGTAGTTAAAGAAAGGAACGTAGGGCTCCTTTCCAACCAAATTCAGGGACAAAACTTTGAGAACTTTCACCTGCGAAAAGACTTTCTCTTATTTATTTTTTGCCATTTTATAGTTTCTATATAAGCCTGTCAGAAATACAGCAACGTACTTTGTTGTAAGAAGTAATGCTTTATATCCTCTTTATGGGACAGAAGGCAAACTTTAACCTATCAAACTTTAAGGTCAAGTGAACCAGGGAAAGAGTAATAGGAGATAAGGTCAGAGAGAAAGGCAGGGCCCAGAAAATGTAAAATCACGTAGGCCTGAAAAGATGTCTGAATTTTATTCCCAAAGGGATAGGAAGTCATTGGAGGTTTTAAGCATGGAAATGACAATGATTACATTTTTAAAAGATTTCTCTGGTTGTTATGTGGAGACTGACTATATAGGTTGGGGGCCAGGGGATGGGGGATAACAGAGGAGGCAAAAAGACCAGATGAGAGAGTACCAGAGTAGTTCAAAAAGATGATAGTGGCTTGGACAAAAATGAAACAGCAAAGGTCATGAACAGTGGGTGGTCAGAGTCAGGGTATGTTTTGAGGAGAGGGCTGACAGAACTTGCTGATGGACTAGATATCTTCAGAAAGAAAAAAGGAGGAGGTTCAAATATGACTCCCATGCTTTGGGACTGAGCAACTGGGTGAACGGTGCCAGTTACCAAAATGAAAAACACTGGGGATAGAGCAGTGTTTACTTACTAAACAGCTTACAAAGTAAAATAAACAGTTGCTTTAAATGTATTAGGTTTATAATGCCAATTCAAACATTCAGGTGAAGATGTCAAGTGGTCTGTTGGATACCTGAGTGTAGAGATCAAGGGAGAAATGTAAATCTGATAAAAAGCACACATACAGATGGCATTTAAGTAATCCAAGGGACTGAATGAAATCACTTACGGAGACAGCAAAAATGGAGAAGACAAACTTGTCAAGCTCTGAGCCCTGAAGCAATAGTTACACTGAGGAAGATCTAACAGAGCTTATTATGTGGGAAGAAAACTAGTGTGATATCCTGAAGGGAAGAAAGTCATTGAGGAGTAAAGGATTGATCAACTCAGTCAAGTTGTTGAGGTCGAGTTACTCACTGTGGGACACTATAAATACACAAAGGTACCTTAAATTATTTTTTAAAAAAAGTATATTATATGGACACAAAGTTCTAGTTAAGGGAAACACATGCTCAATTAAGAAAAAAGTCTAGAAAAATACAGGAGCAGAAAGCAGAAAAGAATACCCTAAGAAATCTCTCATTAAGATTTTGAATACTTGAAACACTTGAATCCTTGAAATCTTTCCTTATTTACAGAGGTTTGGGTTTTGTCTTTTAAATAGTATAATTACATGACACATGTCACTTTATGCTCTGCTTCTTTCACTTTCTCATGTTGTTATATATCATTCTTCAAAATATCTGATGACAATATAGTAATAGTTACAATTTACTGGTTGCTTATGATAGGCCAGACTCTGTATTAGGGCTGTACACATGTATGATACTTAATTTCACAACAACCCATCAGTCAGCCTCTGTTATTATCCCAAATATATAGATGAAGAAACAAATTAAGTGACTTGCCCAAGGTAAGTCAAGATTTTATTTTCTGTGTTTTTAAACCTTATACTGCCTAGATAACAGTATCTACTTAATTCTTTATTGTTAGATTTTGAGTTGTCTAACTTTTTAAGGATTATAACTACCACTTTGGTGAGTACCTTTGAACATAAATCTTTTTATAAATTTGAATTATTTCCACAGAATAGCTTCCTAGAAACAGAATTCGTGGTTCAAAGAAGTATCTTTAAGATTTCTAATACTTACTGTCAAATTGCTTTTCAAAGTGTTTTTCCAAATATATTTTACCACAAAAAAAGCAGTACTTTGAAAATGTACCTCAATCTAAAAACACAAGGTATAGAAAAAGACTAGAAGGAAAAAAATAAGGACTGGGAAAACATAATAAGTGACCACCAGAGGGCAACCATATCACAGTACTATTGAAAAACATCTTATTTGAGATAAAAGGAACAACTGGTTTTATATAAAGCTTGCAGGTTTTTAAATTTTTTTTAATTTTACAGATGTGGGGTACAATTCAGGGCTAGGCATACAAATGTTCATTATGAAAGTACCCTTGTTGATGAGGTGTGACCCACCCCCAGTAGTTTCCCACTACTGCCAATCCTACCCCCAACCCAAAGCAGTTTTAAATACACTATTTGCACTCTTTTATGTTAGATTCCACTTTTATTTAATTTCCAAACAGAGAAAACATTTATTTCTCTCACTATTAGCTGATTTTAGAAATCATAATCATGAAAAAGACTTCCTCTGCCTTAAATTATAACCAGAGCAAGAACAGGACAGAGAGTAAAGAGAGTTGCCACACTGCTGCAAAACTAGAAGTGAGAACCAGCAATGCAGACTGCATTCTGGTGCTATAAAATATTTAGGGAGCAATTTAAATCAATTCCATATGGTGAGGCATTCCTTTTGCTACCCAGTATTGAAAATCATCTTTCCTCTCTCTGTCTTTCCATTCATTTGTTCATTTATTCAATAAACATTTAGGAGTACTTACTATGTGCTAAGTTCCATGCTAGAGATTGCATATACAGTGGTGAACAAAACTGATATTGCTCCTGCCCTCATGGAACTTACAAGGTAGTGTGTGACCCATATGTGTCACATAACCACAAAAAATATATAACTACAAACTGTGATAAGTACTATGGAAAAAATACAAGTATAAATAAAAGCATATAATAGGGGAATTGTCATTTAGTTTAGAGTATCAAGAAATGCATTCTAAGAAAGTGACCTTTAATTAAGATCTGAAGGAAAGATACAATTTAATAAGGCAAAGGGGTTGAGGGCAGGAGACAGAGCTGGATTACCATTGTAGGCAGAGGAAAGATCACGTTTAAGAGTCTTGGAACAAGGGAACATAGATTGTTTTAGAAATAAAGGCCAGTGTGACTAGATCATAGATGTTACGAAAAAGAATAGTACAAAATAAAACTGGCAGGTAGGCAGGGCCTAGATAATAAAAAATAATAATAATAATTTCTTCTACATCAATTTGTTTCACTATAGAGTAGAACATTAGAATAAAGAAGACATTTTCAGCCTGGGCATGGTGGATCATGCCTATAATTCCAGCACTTTGGGAGACTGAGGCAGGAGGATTGCTTGAGCCCAGGAGTTCAACACCAGTTCAACAAAGTGAGACCTCACCTCTGCATTAAAAAAAAAAAAAAAAAATTAGCTGAGCATGGTAGTGCCTGCCTGTAGTCTGAGCTACTCAGGAGGCTGAAGTAGAAGAATTGCCTGAGCCTAGGAGGTCAAGGCTGTGGTGAGCTGTGAGCATGCCACTGCACTCCAGCCTCAGTGACAGAATATGACCCCCAACTCAAAAGAATAAATAAAAGAATGAAGAATACATTTTCAACACAGATTTTGCCTGAGCACTTTCAATTTCAAATCTTCTGCTACTGTGTTCTCATAAAAACTCCTGTACCGGCCGGGCTTGGTGGCTCAGCCTGTAATCACGCGCCTTGGAAGGCTGAGGTGAGTGGACTGCCTGAGCCCGCGGGTTCATGACCCGCCTGGGCAACTTGGCGAGACCTCACCTCTACAATAAATGAAAAAATTAGCCGGGCATGGCAGCACACACCTGTAGTTTCAGCTACTTGGAAGGCTGAGGCAGAAGGATCGCTGAAGTCCAGCAGGTCGAGGCTGCAGTGGCTGCTCTAGTCTGGGCAACAGAGTGAGACTCCAACTCAAAAAACAAACAAACAACAACAACAAAAAAACACCTGTACCTGTCAGACTAGTGTGTCTTGATTTTCCGTTGGGTAAAAAAAGGCTTCCAAAGAAGTATCCCTAATTTTCTAACACTTAGAAAAACTGAAGATCAGAATTTAATTGATTTTAGTTTTTAATAGTTTGACTAAGTTTGCATAAATGTGATTTTCTTTGTTTTCATATTGCTTGGAGTTTGCAGAGACTTATGAATTGGTGGGTTTATATCCTTCATCTGTCTGTAAAATGTGTGGCCATTATCTCTTCTGACCCAATGTCTCCTTCTATCTGAGTCTCCAAATATATTTATATTAGACCTTTTGGCTGTTTTCTCTAAATGCTTCAGTTTGAAAATTTTTTTTTTTTTTGAGTTGGAGTCTCATTCTGTCGCCCAGACTGGAGTGCAGTGGCTGCTCCCGGCCACCGCAGCCTTGACCTGCTGGGCTCCAGCGATCCTTCCGCCTCAGCCTTCCAAGTAGCTGGAACTACAGGCGCGCGATACCACACCTGGCTAATTTTTTGATTTATTGTAGAGATGAGGTCTCGCCAAGTTGCCCAAGCGGGTCTCGAACTCGTGGACTCAGGCAATCCACTCACCTCAGCCTCCCAAGGCACGGGATTACAGGTTGAGCCACCGAACCCGGCAGTTGGAATATTTTTAATTGTGCTATATTGAAGTTTACTAAATTTGTCTTTGCTGTATATAATCTACTGTTAAACCCATGCAATGAGTTATTAATTCACATGTTGTATTTTTCAGTCCTAGATTTTTTTTCTCATTATTTTTGGTCACATTTTCCTGTCTCTGCACTGTCTTGTATTTCCTTACTGTGTGCCATACATGTTATATAAAATAACATGTTATATAAAGTAACCCTTTCCTCTACTAGGCAGATATAATGAGAGGATCACCTCAATCCAATCAGAAGTTGAGGTGGGTTGAGGATGGACTGTAATTTTTATATTAGTCATGATGTTTACCTCTGATTAATCATTATTTCTTGGTAATGACTCTCTAAGGCATTTGATTAAGAGCCTAAGAAGCCTGTGTCTCCTCAGCTCTAAAAGATTGTGAGAGATTCAGTACTGGCCTTTGGTGGTCTGAGCCTAGGTCCCACTCTATGTACCTTTAGAGTTTTGAGACATCTTGAGAGAGAGATGCCTGCCTGTTGTAACAGGTCCTCTCTCTCTAAAAGGATTTTGTCTCCTCAGCACAAGATTGAAAGAGACTTCTCTCTACCTTTCTGACCCAGCCTTCCATCTTCTGCACAATCAGCTAATACCCTGTGGGAAAACTGGCTTTGTGTTTAAGGCTCCTCTAGTTTCTAACTATCATGCAAGCCTCAAATGACTGCCAAAAGCTCTTCTTATATCTCTTTCCTCAAGAATAATTCCTTTGCTTGGGCCAATCCTACTCTTTAGCCTGTGGCAAGAAGCACCAAATGTGCTCTGGAAAGAAAATGGCTGGCAATCATCAGCAGACCTAGGAAGAGTTCTGTTTTTGAAATTTCAGTTCATATAGTTCTACTTGCTTCCATAGCTCTCCAACCAATATGATTTTTTAAACTTATATACTTTCTCAAGTTGTTGTATTAAGATTTGGCTTGCTGTGATCTATCACATCCTACTTAGAAGAGAAAGGCTCTTACGAACTACTTGGGAAGGATCAACCTAAAGATTTATGAGTGAAAAGAACAGTAGAATAATTACACGACAAAGTTAAGGAAAGTATGTACCTGTGAGGGCATCACAACTGGCAGACCGATTATTGCATTGGCAGGGCAAGCAGCCTTTCTTATTAAAGCCATAATATCCATCTTGGCAGCGGTCACACATAGAGCCAATAACACCCACTTTGCACTGGCATTTCCCAGAACTGCAAATAAAGGCAAAGACAATGAACAAAAGTAAGTCAGTTTAAAAGTTTTACTGCCTAACATCTGAGAAGAGAAAAAGAGCCAGGCTCATGTAAATAACATATACTTACCATATCTTAAAACCCTGTATCCAAAGAAATCAACTACCAAGCTCTGTATTCCTATTTAAAGCTGTCTAGTATATTACATAATGCAATTTCTTGGTAAACAAATAATTTTAGAGAAAATGTAAAATAGAGGCATCTGAAAGCAAAAATGATGATGATGATGATGACAAAAACATGAGCCACCATTTACTGAGGGCCTGAGTCAATAAATAAGTATTCTTTTCAATCCTCAAGGTGATTCTACTGGTAGAGATCATAAGCCTCATTTTACTATTGAGAGAATTCAGAGGTTATTGTCTACAGCTGGTAAGTCAGATTTATTTATACAAAGTCAGACTTTTCTCGCTATATCATACTACCTGCTCCTACGTTTGACAAGAAATTTGTATAAGAAATTTGTCTGCCAAATAACTAGATATCCATTTGGGTGTCAAGTTTCATTCTGTAGATCCAAAGAATCACAATTCACCATCTATTTAGGTTCTGACTCCAATTATGCTGCTTCTTCCTGGTCCAGAATGGATCTTGGTCTCTTTTCTCACTGCCAGCAAATTTCAGTTCTTCCTTAACAAAAGTTGAGAAATTGTATATTGCTTAAAGAGAAACTGCAGCCTAGCAAAGTCCATATTTTAATGTTTAAAGTTTAATTAAAATTTGTGCTGATTATAATACAGAATATGAGCGTTTTTGTTTTGAGATGGGTCTCAATCTGTCACCCAGGCTGGAATGCAGTGGCATAATCATATCTCATCCCAGCCTTAACCTCCTAGGTTCAAGGGATTCTGCCTCCCAAGTAGCTGGGACTCCATGCATACCCCACCACGCCCAGTTTATTTTTGGGTTTTTTGTAGAGATGAGGTCTTACTATGTTGCTTAGGCTGGTCTCAAACTTCTGGGCTCAAGTGATTCTCCTGCCTTGACCTTCCAAAGTGCTAGGGTTACAGGTGTGAGACACTGCCCCCAGCCTGATGAGCATTATTTTCAAAAATGTAATAGAGGCCAGGAGTGGTGGTTCACACCTGTAATTGCAGCACTTTGGGAGGTCAAGGTAGGATCACTTGAGCCCAGGAGTTCAAGACCAGCCTGAACAACATAGTGAGACTTCATCTAAAAAAAAAATTTAAAAATTAACCGGGTGTGGTGGTGCGTACCTATAGTCTCAGTTACTTGGGAGGCTAAGACAAAAGGATCACCTGAGCTCTGTTTGTGTCACTGCACTCCAGCCTGGGCAACAGAGTGAGACCTTGACTCAAAAATAAATAAATAAATAAAATGCAACAAAAACTTATATTACCAAGCATAAATCTGAAGTAACTTTGCACAAAAGAAATCCCCCACACATACTTATATGGTCTTACACAAGAATACCCTGAAGTACTTAAAGATCTAGCAAAGAAAATTTGTATTCATCAAAAGTTCAGGAATATCTTATGATTCAACAAGAAAGAACCAGTCAATTGAAGTCCCTCTATACTATCAGAAAATTACAAAGGACAAAAAATGTATCTTTCAAAGAATGGTTAACAACTCTTCATTATTTCCAAGGCTTTAAAAATGTTAATAAAAATATGCTTTTTCCTTATTCAGGAATAAGGAATAGATTATTCAGTATACAAGAGGATAAAGTTATTTTTAATAATGATGCTTGCCTAACCCATCACCTACAAGAAAAAGGTATTACTTTAGTATACAGAGTCACTTAATAATATCTTATAACCATAATGTAGCCAGTGTTCCCAAAGTAGATACTATTCCTATCAGTGGGCTTTCCCCTCATAATTCTGCTCTAGACACCCAAAAGACCGGTTTAGGCAGGTATCTTTTTCTCTGAAGAATCTGCTCCCTAGTCACTGATAAAAAATGACTTTATGAATCCTAATAAAGTAGTTGATTGAATCTAGATACGATACTTTACTTTTTCCTGGGTAGATTTTTAAACGATGGAAAAGAAGGCGCTTTTCTCTCTTTAAAAAAAAAATGAAGCAGGGAAGTTTGGTAGTGAGGCTGCACTAATAGTGATTTTCCATCATGTTACTCATGGTCCATGGCTAATTTCTGCATGAATGAGAATCAAATCTGCTGAGTGTGGTGGTCTCTGTAGTCTCAGCTACTTGGGAGACTGAGCCGAGAGCATTGCGTGAGCCCAGAAATTCAAGGATACAATGTGCTATGATGGTGCCTGAGAATAGCCACTGCACTCCAGCCTGGGCAACATAGTGAGACCCTGTCTCTTAAAAAAAAAAAAAAAAAAGAATTAAATAATTCAGCAAATATAAAGCTTTGCTTGTGTGACTTCTTTTATAGAATAAAGGCTTTACAACACTCCCTTTAATGGTCTCTCTGTGTTAACAACTGATGAATGCTTTCTGAAGCAAAGGTCAATAACATAAATGCAGTGAAACAAAAATAACAAAAGGCTTGTTAACAGACCACTTACGGTTATCCATAGATTTGAAATGAAAAAAACCAAAGACCCACAGCTTCATATCTGAAGAATAACAGTACAGAACTGGATTTTAAATAGAAATCAGAATCTATACTATGAGATCAGCTAACAAAGAATTTAAGATAGAATTTGCTCATCTGCTGTCACTTCTAAAAGACACATGTTACTAGAAAAGCACTAATACAGTACAGAAGATAATACTAGAAAGAAGAAGATAGAATTATTCATAAAGGAAGCATAAGCATTGTGGACCTAAACTGCACTAAATATAGCTATGCATATACTACACATTTCTTAAATTATCCCAAATGGAATTCTCAGATTTTTTTATGGTGTTAAATGCTTGGTTATAGAATTTACACACTCATGGTTATAAACATCTACTGCAGGGTTTTACCACTTTTTAAAAAGTATTTCTTAAATACATGTAAACAAATAATATATTTTCCAACATTAATAGTTATCAATTTTTTAAAAGGACACAGCTTGAAATTTTATGTGAAAAAATTTTTCAAAAGAAAATTCATTGATATCTCAAGATATGGTATATGTTTATGTCACACAAATACTAGCCAAATTATCTTTTAAAAGATTCTGTTTTGCTTAAGATAAGTCGGTGGAGAATCTTCAGAATTTCCATTATTTTATACTCACAATGATTAGCTGGGACGGGTGTAATACAGGAAGGGAGGTATCAGGGTTTATGGGGGGGGAACCCTGAAAAAACAGTTCATATTCCAGCTCTGCTAGTGACCAGCTGGCACAAAGTAGTTATTCTTTCTTAGCCTCAATATTCTCATCTGTAAAATGAAGACAACTATACCAACCTTTTGTAGGGTTATTGTGAAAATTAAAGATTACATACACAAGACACTTAGAAATGTCCAGCATATATTCAGTATTCAAAAATGAAAGATGGTAACAATATCCTAGATCTTAAATATTTTCTGAGAATCGTACAAAGAATAGGTTAGAATCCCCAGGAGGAAAAGACAGAGAAGATTCTAAATTACTTACTTTTTAAATACTGTTAATAAACTTTTTTAAAGTGGCAAAAAAGTTAAGAGGTCATTACTAGTTTGGAGAAAAATGTGGCTAGGAAAAAGAGAGCACATTATGAACAACATGGTGGAAACCGTTTTTAGAAATAAAATTTCAAAATTAAAAAGGGAAAGGATCAGCAAGAACCTCTGTTAGATGGGATGGATCAAAGCCAGTTGGACCTCATTTGTTTTTTTTTTTACCAACTAGCTAGTAACTGATTTCTAAGTCAAATGTCTTGGCATTTGTTGTTGTTATTATCAAGAACTTGGTTGGCCAATCAAGGTGACTCATGACTTTTAAATACATGTAAAAGCACTTTGGAGGCTGAAGTAGGAGGATCATCAAAGTCCATGATTTTAAGACTAGCCCAGGCAACAGCGAGACCCCATCTCTAAAAATAATGATAATAAAAATTATACGGGTGTGGTGGTATGTAGTCCCACGCTTGTCCCCTGTAGTCTCTGCTACTTAGTAGGCTGAGAAAAAAAAATATATTGTCAGTGTTATTCCTGAGATTTACAAAAATATAAATTATGTGTGTACGTATATCATTAGGTATGATATTAATTTTAACTCAAGCAGTTGTAAAATAGCTTGGCAATAATTAGGGAAAATGAATTCATTTATGATCATTCAGGAGACTTGATTTTCCTCTCTCCTTCCTCAGACAGTATATATGTTGGCACTCTGACATGGGGAGAATAAGAAACAGAAAAAATGAATAATTAAATGTATCCATTTTCTTCTTCCTCTACTTTTTTAAATAATGAAAAACAATTTAGTTCAGAAAGAGACTGAAAATAATAATTAAAACAGACTGAAATCAACAGAAAATTGCTGACTATAAACTCTCTCAATATATTAAAACTAAATATGATAAAGTAGCTAGTTAGTTTGTCTAGTGAGAAAAACATTTTATGTGGAAAAATAAAGTAAAAAGTTATTAACAATTCTTAATTTCATGTTTGAATCATAGTTTTATATAGGTAATGAAAATAATAGTTCCTCCTTTTATTATAAAAGGAACTTAATAATTAGACATTCTGGCAAAAGATTCTCTGCACTTGGTGTTCCTCTTTCTTCCTATGGTCATGAAAAAATCATTATGCAATCAGCGAAGTTTCTTTTCTGGAGGAAAAAAGATAGCTTTATTGTTGAAAACATTGGGCTATTATGCTAAACATTCCTTGTATTTTTGAGAGCAAATAGTCTAAAATATGTTTAGAGGAAATCCATATTCAGACAGAAATTCTTTTTCTTTTCAGAGACAGAAGGCATTTTATTCCTTCTGGCAACAGCAGGAGCTAGAGTATCAGCATTTGCACAATGTCGCCAAACCTTAATTCCCAAGGGTAATGCAAAGAGGGCCAGTGAAAAATTATTATAGAAGAACCCCAAACCC